TGTTTTTATAGGGTCCACAAAAGGGTCTGGTGTTCCATGGTCCTCCAACAAGGCCTCTGCCCTGCCCCATCTGATGCCTTTCAAGATTTCTTCAGAGGACAAGACTTCAAAGCTTGCTTCTGATCCAATTTTGCCTACTTCCGATTCGTTTGATCCAAAGCGAAGAGCAGCCGAAATCCAGGTTTGATATGTCTTGATGAGCTACATAATCTAAAGCTTATGAGATGTATAAACTAAACATAGGTGACTCGAAACTCCGAACTATCCTAGATTTCTCGTCTCTAGGCTTCGTTAACGTGATTCATTAAAACCGTGAGGCAAAGCGTCTCGCTATTGCTTTTAAAGAGGATAAACAAATGTCTTTGGATTAACTATAATGTATGGCTTGGTTTGGTTTGGGGCTGATATGGTTGCATCTGCGACTTTTTTCGATTCTAGAAAACATTCAATCACGATAGGCAAGGTGGCACTCATTTTTCCCTGGCAGCTTACCCTATGCAGCCCGATTTGTATTCCATTCATCGTCCTCATGAGGCGAAACTATTTTCAGTTCCAAATCAAGGTATACCTGTTTCAATTGGCAATGCATCCTTGAAGAACCCTTTTGCTCTTCCTGGTCAGATGGCTGGTTCTATCCTCAAACAACCACTTGGGGGAGTTCCCGTTTCGAGTTCCCCTAATTCGTTTTTCCCGCCGTTTGGTTCCATTGTTGGGCTCACCGAACCATGGTAATACTTCTGATTTGTACTTTTAACCTCTTTTCTCCACCATAATAACCACTTGACATACCCATTTTGAATCTCTTTTCATCTTTTGCAGGAATAGTTTGAAAGGTGGATCTCCAGCTCAATTGACCATTTTTTACGGTGGTACCGTAAACGTCTACGATGACATTACCCCTGAAAAGGTAGTTATTACCCCCTCAGGCGAAAACGAGAGAGAGAAAACCTCAGTCGTATAACTTTGCCTCTTTTGAAGTAACATTGTAGAGTAAAAAGACCTGAAATTGGCACTCTTTTGCAGGCCCAGGCCATAATGTTCTTGGCTGGAGCTGGGTCTGCCATATCCAACATGGCACATCCGAAAGGTCAAGCTCATGGAATGGGTGCAAAAATGGCAGCAACTGATGCTGCTCCTTTGAACCAACCCGGAAGCGCGTTACCTTGCCCTGCTCTCTCTAGCCCCTTGTCTGTTTCTTCTCACACGGGTGCCCAGTCCGGGAGTGGGTCGAGTTGCACTGACGATTTGAGAGTAGCTAAACCCAATGGAGTTCCCACCACTCCTATGAGCAAAGCAGAGCCTCCAAGAATAGTCAGTGCAGTCGAACCTGTAGCTGCTACTGCTATGATGCCTTCTGGTACAACATACTCCTTCGAGGACCCTCATATTTTCTCTTTTTCTCATAATTGTGATATTTCCGTTGTGTACGGTTCTCTGGCATTCGTTTGCGTATGTTGACTATTGATTAGGTTTACAGTTCAAAATTACACTGCCTGTAACGCAGAATGTTCTATGTTTTAGGAATAAGCATTCTAATAGTTCCTTGAGTTGGAGCTTATACTTCATTTCCATTCTTCTCTACAGCAGTTCCACAGGCTCGCAAAGCATCGTTAGCTCGGTTTTTAGAGAAGCGCAAGGAACGGTAAGTCGTCTTATGAAGAAAATATGGATCCAACTCCAACCCTTGATTCTATTATCCAATATTGTTTAACTGATCTGCATTTTTATGGACATATAGGGCTATGAACTCTGCTCCATACAATCTTGCCAAGAAATATCCAGACTGTGCTGCGACCGAATCAAACGGTGCAAATTTCTCGAGCCCCGTCACCGGAAATAGCGCAAATGTGGCAAGCTAAAGAGCAGCAATTCCATGTATGATGCAAAACTTAGAGAATGATGAAGATTTTATAATGATTTAAGCTAAGCTACTGATTCTTATCTTATGGTGTATTATTATCATCTGAAGAACAACTCTGCCCTGTAAGTGTTTTGACTGTTGATGTTCAAAAAAAGGTTCCACGTCCTAAATAATATTTCCTTATACGTAGTTGTTCTAGAGCTGTCAATTAATATGTTCAAACTTTGTTGGATCATTGCTTCCAACACTATTATGTAGTTCTTAATGTATAATTTGTTACTTTTGTAACTATTTCATCTCTCTTCCTCTCCTGTCGAAAAATTGATTACATAGTCGATGATTGATTGACTTCGATATTATCGCCGATTGACATGTGGTATCCCTCTAGTATCTCAAGTATTTCTACAATGGTATGGTATCGTTCATTTTGGACATGTCTCACAGTTTTATTTTTGGTTTCATCCAAAATGTCTCATTTCAATAGAGATAATTGTCTTAATCACTCCGTTCCTAGTCAATATGAAACTTTGTTTGCACCCTCCTTACAAATCTAACATGTTCAACCATTGTTATCGTTGGTTTTTCTTAGATTGGTCCATGGTTCAACTATTCTTACCGTTGCTATCTAATTTTATGAATATGGATAGAATTCTATTTGACGTGTTCTCCCTCTCCGATATATGATTCCAACGGTACGAGACATCTCTCTCTCATACTATTAATTCGAGTTGTTATAAATTATATTAGTACTTATTTTCTTGGCAGGGACTGGAGCTGAAAAGATAAGATTGGTTGAAGAACATGGAGTGGTGGTGTTGGTTAATGGTCTATTTTTCTTGCTGTAGTCAAACTGGATTTTGAATTCCATGTGGATAGGTAAATTCTTCAACTAAAAGAAAGCTTTTTTAGAAAGAAAAAAAAAATTAAACATCTAGAGTGGAGGTTGAACTTTAATCTTTTTTTATTAAAAATATATACCTTAATTAGTTTAATTATGAATATTAAAATAGCAGAATAATAAATTCTGAATATTAAAATCAAAATATTTAAGTAATTAATAGTTGATGTTGCTTTTCTTCTATTGAAAACCCATGTGTGATTTAAAATGAAAGCACATATTTCCCACCAAGGTAACAACAAAAGGGGTCAATGTCAATTCTTTGTGTGGCTCATCAAAGAACTAGACAAGGAGTTAATTTTAGATTCCTATAAATAAAAATTTGAAAAAAAAAAATAGTTTTTTGATGTAGAAAGTTTGCCTGATATGAAGAATGAAAATAGTATTTTGTCGTTGGTTGATAAAGCTAGTCTTTTTACTACGAGCGTGGTCTATTTTGTAACGAATTTCAATTATTCCCGAGACCTGCAAAACAGAATAGCATTAAAGATCAATGTGGCAGTCACACAGGTTCCGATGCTTAAGTCAGAATCGAAGTAGTTGAGTTTAGGATTTGGCTTACTTCATAGGAGTTGAATCCTATTCCCTCTGGGATCGTGGAATTCGAATTGTGATATACGTAGGAAATCTGGTTATCTGAATCTGGGGAGAATCTTGAGGCAATTAGGATATTTTCTCTTTTTGAATATAGGATATATGAATCATAAAACCATCAAGATATCTGGAATTTGAATCGTAGAAAATTGGGATTTTCTCATCCATAACAGTTGTTAAAATTTTACTTTGTAGTTCATCAATTGTAGAGGTTTCAAACTCCATAATGGCCACCTGCTTAAAGAATTAATTTTTATGTGTTTTCCAACACTAAAGTTGAAGGGACAATCGACTGTCCCGTGAAGTTGAGGCGTGTGAGCTGGCCTGAACACTCACGAATATAAAAAAAAAAAAAGATTATAGAGGTAAGAGATTATCGACTTTAAAGATGGTAATAAGTGTCTCATCCATTGATCTATATTGGATTGACTAACATTCCACTTATCTGTATTGGATTGACTAACACTCTTAATAGAATATTGATACGGTATATTTATTATTATTATTATTTTTTTTTTGGCTAAGCTGGTTTTTTAAAGGTGTTTATAACATGAATTAATTGGAAACATAATCTAAAGTTTAAGGATGTAATTCAAATAACACAACCTAATTTTAAAATTTGCCCAAAGTTAATGGCTTTCTTTTTCTTTTTTTTCATATGCTTTTGGGTTAAAGAGGATACAGACACACAATAGAGCTTCAATGTGGTCATAATGTGGTATGTCACATGGCTATGGAAAAAGGCATTATTATAAGAGTGTATAGTGAGGTGTTTATTTTGTTGATGGTTTAGTGGAGTTTATTTATGCCTTAAAGTTTTGTAATCTTAGCATAAACATTTGAATACGGATAAAATGATTGTCTCGAGTTTTATTTCATATTCAAACGATTAAAATACTTTTAAGTTACGGTATGTAATTTTAAGTTGTGTATGTAGTGTGTACAAATGAGAGAGTCTAATTTAATAGGTGTAAACTCGAACAATTTACAATGTATTTATTCTATTGATATTATGGACCAAAATATTTTTGTGGAGAGCTGTGAATAAAGAAATACTACTAAGATGATAATAAACCACTTATTATCTATCACAAGTGTCTTGTAACCTCTTGTCTCAAATGCCTAATATTTGATCGACAGAACAAATAAAGATCTACAAATTACATTCTCACATGAGATAAAATTTACAACGCTTTTAAGTAACTGTGACTTGTCATGGAATTTGTAGAATGGAACTGAGCCGAGGTTGTCCAGATCAGTTCAACCAAGGAATGGGAACGGGACTCAAGGAAACATGATCGGCTCGACTACGATGAGTGTTGGCTCGGATACCGAGGTAACAGACGTTTGCCTTATCCACCTCCAAAGGCCACATGTAACGCTATCCTCCAATCAGCGAGTGTCACGTGTGAGGCTAAAAATCACCTCTACCATATGTATGTAACACTACTTTTTTTGTTAAAGAAAAAAGCAAAGAAATATAATAGCGATAGATTTTTTTTTAAATTCTAACCCTTTTAAGGTGGAAAATCGAACTACATACTTTTGAAATAATAATAGATGTTTTATTCGGATAATTTTTTTTCTGGACATATCAAAATTGTAGTGAGAATTCAAAATCATATTTTTTTAGTCGAAAATACATGCAGTTAAACTATATTCAAGTTCATGAATCGAAACAAGGTTGATCCATGGAGAAGGTGGCCGACACGAAAGATAGATTACTGGATTTCAACTCGAAATTCGAACATAATTTTCACGTGCTACCTAAGACCATCACGTCCAACATGAAAACGTGTCCTTTACTGGTTGTAATTTAAACCCACTTCTTTTTGTATATAAAAAAAATGCTACATAATTTTAAAATATTACATTTTTCATCATATTTTTAACAATATGGTAGGTTCCGAGTTGGCTTGAATAGCTCAGTATAATTCAGATTCTTTTGGTTATTTTCAGATTCACTTAATGAAATAAATTCAGTTAATATCTTGGTAGAGTTATTTTTTAATTTTCTATGATCTCTGAAAACAATTTTTTAATCTTTTTTAATTTTTTGTAAGATTTTGAATTTGAAACTTTAAAACGTAGAATCATATTCTAAAAGATAAAATTTTAATAAACATATTATAAATACATTTCATAAATTTTTAAATTAAAAATATAATATATTATAAATTATGTATAATATTGTATAATATATTGGTGAAACATATATTATATTAATCACTAATTTTTTTTAGTTTTCAAGTATAATATATAATATATGTGAGGTAGGAATTTAAACTCACGACTAGCAAATAGATACGTAAACTCATTGCTATGCTCCGATTTAATTAGTACAATATGTAAGAGTGGGTATTTGAATTTACGACAATTTTAATCATACATGAGTGTTTAATCCATTGAATTATATTTCGGTTGGCTTTTTTTTTTGTTTCAATTAACTTTTGTTTTAGTACCTAATTTTTTTTTAATTTTAGTATCTAAACTTTAGATAATATAGTATCGTAATTATTATTCGCATTAACTTATCGATTATTTAATACACGTCCAACTTAAATATGTTTTTCTTATTATTTTTGGGAATTGGGATTTCACATAGGAAAATTTTCTCGTTTTTAATTAAAAACTAATAAATATATTAAAGTTATATACTCTTTGTCGTCAAAGTTAGTATTTTTACTATTTACTTGTCAAAATAATTATTTTCAAAAATATTTGAAAATCTTTTTACCAATGTTTTATTTAGAGAGTATATGAATATACTAGGGTGAAAAGTTTTAATAAATATATTATTTCATGGTAAAAATTCATTTTACCTTTGCTAAAATCAAAACATTTAAAATATAATATATTATAGATTATATAACATTGTAAAATAATAATTATACAAAAATAACAAAAGGAATATAGCTCGATTTAATCCCTTGTTTTCGAATTTCTATTTTCTGATCAACAATCAAGCTCTTAATTATCTCCGTACAAAAGAAATCTCAATACACTTAAGAAGTTTCTTTCAATATAAGAACTAAATCTTATAAAATTTAAACTATAAACTCAAATATATCGTTACATACTAAAATTAAAAGATTAAATAATCACAAAAACTATGTTTCATAGTAAAATTTGAGATTAAATCTTCATACATGCGGTCGCGAAAAAAAGAAAAAGTCTTCACAAAGAAAAGAAAAAAAAAAGCTTCTATTTTTTAAAAAAGAGAGGAAAGTATAGAGTGCGTAGTCGGTCACGTTTTCAACGTAAGAACAGAGCCTGACAGACGGGGTCCGGCCATAGAAAGCAAAACACGTCATTCTGTCTAAATCCTCCAACCAATCACAGAAGGCTGTTACACTCGGTGACGTTTACGCAGTGGGCGGTCGTTATCACAAATTTAAAAAAAAAAAATTCATTTCAAAATTTATCTTTTTAATTTTAAATTTTAGAGAACTCAGGGGATATAGGATAAGGATGAGGAGGAGGCCGGTACACGCTACTCACTGGACCACCTGATTATTACCCTTCTTTTTCAATTCAATTGGAAAATGAGAGAACATTGAATTCATAGGGAATCTTATTCTTTCTTTATTATTTTTTTCAAATCAAAATCTTTTCTTTTTCATATGGTTTTTAGTGGCTGATATGAAAAATAAGAAAAAAAAAAGGTTGTCTCATAATTTGGTCACACTTGTTCAAACTTTATCATGTGTCACATGTCTTGTAAGTGAAACAAATCTGATATTGTTTGCTAAAAAGAAGGCTTGGTATTTAGGCTTGTTTTTCAATCTGTTGTTTAAAAAATTAAACATTATGTTTTAACATTTATGATTATTACATGATATTTCGTCAGTTGGCAAAAAGTTGAAAAGAAATTAGAAATTCTCTCTCTTAGGTAAACTAATTTATTTTTTTTAAGTTCTAGCAACTTGTTAAGTATCATGTAAATTTATTATCAATTAAGTTTAACATCTTCCACCAGATTAAAAAGATACCTAAATATTAGAGGTAAAAACATATATTTTTTTTAAAAAATAGAATTGCACTGTTTAGATAAATTTGTTGAGAAAGGTGTGCTAAGGACAACGATCATATCTCTAAGTATCTCTACAATTGAATGTTATTGTCTGCTTTAAAGCTTGCAACTTAGTCTTTTGTTTCACTCAAAAGACCTTATACGAGATAATTTTCATCGTCTTTATACCATTTATCACTCTCTTTTCTTCCTTAGCCAATATGAGATTTTGTTTGCACTCTTTACAAACCCCAACAATCCTCTTCTCAAAGTATCACCAGGCCTCTCCTAAGTAGTTATTCATCAGTCAGCTACAATGAGAGCTTGCTTTTATTCAAAACTCCAAGTGCACCTGGATAGAGCACAGCCACAGATTCACACCATGATCGCATCTTCTAAAGCTCACTACTTCTTTGTTTGGCACCCGAAGATTTCACCGACTCGATTAGATTTTTTTACCATGACTTGATACCATTTGTTAAAGACAACGGTATGATAAATGTTAATAAGACAACAGTATGATAAATGTTAATAAGACATGATCTAACTACTACCGTTTATACCATCTATGGAATTGCATTTAACGCAAAAACCATCAATTAACATTTTTTGAGAACCATGAAAATTTAAGTCCACAACTACCATTATAGTTTCTTCTCGAAAATTTCTAGCCATGGGAAAGTTTAAAAGGAAATCTAAGCAATCTAGGCAAAGTTGTATGTCAAAATCATCCACCCTTTGTTTGGCCTTCCTCTAGATTACTACTTTCCCACTACAAAACATCCCACAAACACAAGTCCAACATGTCGAACAATAACAAAGTGCATAGTAGAAGAATATAGTGAATTCGACATTTCCTACCGACATCTAGGCTCGAGCACTCGTCCACGAAGCACCAATGCACGAACCACCTATTTGATAACATCTAGGATCGTCTAACTCTCCTTAATTTCCAAAGTTCCAACAACGAGCTCAAATATAGAGCTCAAATCGTGGAACTTAACGTTACCACAAATTAAGAGTAAGAAAGATCTAGATTTATTAATTAGTTTCTAGTAAATGTCTAAAAGTTACTATTTATTAATTAAATGCCATAATTTAAATTATTTCTCTATGAGCAAGACCTATAAGACATCAACTCTTACATATCAATTATCCTACCTATCCACACATTTATTGTCTCAAATATTTAGAGTCTAGCTATGCTTGAGACAAAATTTACTTACGACTCACACATATAGTTAGAGCAAATTACCGTTAACGAAATGATGACGACCAAAAATAACATAATTTTAGGTTTCAAGAAGTAACTTTATTAGTTAATCTTGAAAACGATAGAATTTGAGCTCAACTACCAACACAAGAATCAATTCTAAATGAATCAATTCTAAATCAACTATGGTCTCCATTACTAACATTTTTTTAGATGCTATCATATGATCCTAACTCCAAAAATAAATAAATAAATATAAAATATAAAAAAAAATAATCCATACCGTATTCGATTTTTTGAACCATTTAATTCAAATCCGCTTGGCATGAGCGATCCTATAACAGCAAGCCAACCCTTATAGACTTCCTTTGAAATGATCCGAATTCAATAGATTTGATTTGCAGCATCTACACTAACACACATGCACGACGCCATTGATAATATTAACATTAACTAATAAAATTAGTCTCTAAACTCAAAGTTGTGTTTAATAGACGATTTTAACTTTGAAAAATGTCCATAATAAAAATACGGGAACCTTGTACTCCTCACCACTTCCTAGATCCTTCGATTGTGTCTAAAAATCCTTTATTTTTAAAAGTACCAAATTTCATGTAGGCCTCAACTTTTTAGATACAAAGTTAAATTTTGAACCTGTTAGATCCTGACTTTTCAATAGTGTTTGATAAATTCGTATATTATAGGTAGGAAAAAAGAAACAAAGGCTAGTTCAGAGACCGAATGTTTAAAAATCAAAGAACCTATCAGACAAAATTTGTTACGTTTTTTTTTGTTGTTTACTTTTTTCACTCTAATCTTTAGACATTATTGTTCCTTTTCATTATTTCAATGAGAAGTTCGTATCTTTTTCAAAAAAAGAACTTGTTAAACGTTTTCCAAAGTTGCAATTTAACCTAATATTAAAAATAAGGGACAGATAAGTTCTCAAGTATATGGAGACCAGTCTGCTGTTACTCTGTAGTTTCATGAATTCATCAACGGACATGCACAAAGAAAATGAAGAACAATACAAAATGCATCAAAATCATGTCCACAACAGTCTCAACGAAACAAACAAACACTATTAACACAATAGTATGTTGTAAACTTGACCCAAATCCTTCAATCCTGTTTTCACTAATCCATACTACATTCATGAATGTCCGACCCAACTCACACAATACAGAATGCATCAAAATCCTGTCCACAAGTCTCAGTGAAACAAACACACTATAACACGATAGTAAGTCGTAAACTTGACCAAAATCTTTCACACTCCTGTTTTAACTATACCCATGAATGTCCGGCCCAACTCACACAGTTCGCCTAGCCTCACTGGAGAACTACCTGACCCTACAACAACAATTAGCCACCATAGTACCCATGTTATAACATTCATTCAAATCCATTCAAATTGCAAGGCAGCTCTGGTCTTAGAACAAATAAATATTATTGATATCAAGACATATAGTTGGATTCTCCTCCGTCAATCATGATCCATTTTAACATCAAGTAAGAAACAAATGTAAGATTATGTTGGATTCTAGATATATACTAGTCAAATTCAAATGGAGACAATCAAAAGCCACGGAAGATTGGAGTTTCATACATACGAAAGTATTACGTGCAAATATTCGCAACAAGTCCTTACTCGCATATGTGAAAACGTCCAAGTTCTCCGATTTGAAATCTCATTCCAAATCTACATTCCAAATCTATTTCACATTATAGACAGGTCCTTTTAAGGATCTGACCAATTGGATGAAGTGACAAAAACCAAAGCCTTACCGAGCCAGGAAGACATCATTTCAGAACAAAAAAGAACCTAAAATTTCAACCTCATATTCCTTACATAGATTGCTTTGAATTCTCCTCTTTTTTCAAATCTGCGATTACCCCTAAAGCTAAGGAACAATCAAGGCTAAAATAGATGATTTAAGTTGTTTGTTTCTGGAAACAAGAAGCTACTTGGAGGCTTTGTTCATTTAAAACTAAAAATCAAATTTTCATTGAGAATAATGGAAGAATACATATGGGGGGCCTGAAAAAAATCCTAAAATGAAACTTAACTCACAAAAAAAAAAAAAATGAGGCCTCTACGCTCCCCAAAAGAAAAAAGGGTTCAGCCTAGCTAAAAGAGCAGACCTCCCCATGAGGACTCTCCACCTTACAGAAATATTCTCCCATTCCTCTCAAGCTAAATACTCTATACAATAGCAAAAAAAACCTACACACCAAAGAACTCCCTCGGTTATTATTTTTTTAAATAAGAAATCGAGCTTTCATAAAAGTATATACAAAGGCCTACAGAAAAGCAAGAAAAAGGGGTCAACCTATAGGGAGGGGCTCAAGTCCAAAAGAATAGCACCTAAGTATCAAATATATATATATCTTTAGTAACAAAAGGCAAGGCCCACGAAGAGGTGAGTGAAAGTGAAACAAAAGAGCTTCCTCCTTGTTCCAAAATGGAGGGTGTAACAAAAACTCGTCTATCATCGAGCAACTCTCTTTATTATGAGCCAAGCACATGCCAAGCATACAAAAAAAACTACCACAAATTGAATATGAAAACCTTTTTAACAAAGAGAATAAAAGAATGTCTTAAGATGCAGTAGATAATCCATGTCTGACCCTCTTAGGAAAAAAATTAAACCTTCTTGGGAACTCTAACCATCCACAATAAAGAGAATAAAGAATGCTGTGAAGGGCGAGAGACCACTCAAACTATGAAGAATGACCTATAAAAGAGCCCCGTTGAAGGATTTGGAGTCCCCAATTAGAAATCCTTAGTTTCAGGATGACAATGAAAATCA